ACGCCCCCGCCGCCTCGTCACGCCCCTAGTCCCATGTCAGGCCTCAGACTTTCCCCAGGGTCCATGACCACATCAGCAGGGCCATTAAATTTCTGACAGAGCTGTCAGCTCTGCATCGAGGACATCACCCTGTGTGTGCCAGTCCCTTGGTGCCAGACAGGTCCCAGGGGTACCGGGCCCTGCCCTGGGCGGGAACGCGGAAGCTGGGGCTCCAAAGTCCAGGAGCCAGAGCAGCTGACCTCAGGCATGAGCACCCCCAGGCTGTTGGGAATCCTGCCCCCCTCCACCCCTCTCTGCCAAGGAAGCCCACCGCATGGGGTCGTGGGATTCCTTACCGCGGGGCTCAGCCGAAGGGGTCCCCGGGTCCCCGGGTGGAGGCAGTGGGGGCGCGGGTGGAGGTGGGGGTGCCTGGGCAGTGGGTGGCTTCTGGCCAAACAGCTCCTGAAGGGGCCCCTGCTTCTCCCGGATGGAGTTGGAGGTCCGGATCCGTGGTGTGGCCTTGGGTCGAGGGGCCACAGCTGGCGGAGGACCCTTCTCTGGGCACAGCGCCTGTGGGGGCACAGAGAGCGCACACGACACAAGCTGTGTCTAGGGAGAAGGCCACGCGGACCCCTGAGAGCCTCGGGCTCCTGAGCAGAGCAGCTGCGCCCTGGGTGGGAAGGGACGGGCCTCACCGAGGAGGGCGATTGGGCACCGCTGATCCCCAGCTTAGCCAGAGCCTCGTCCTTAGGGTTGTTTTTCTTCAGGAAATTTTGGGGGGGCCTCCTGAGAGAAGGAAAAGGTCAGGAGCCTGCAGGTTTCTCCCTGCGGAGTGGGCAGCGCTGGCAGGCCCCGGGCCCACCTGGATGGCTGCACCGGCACGGGCACGGGGCCTGGGCGGCTCTGGTACATGCGGATGATGTTACGGATCTCCCTGCTGGGCAGCTTTGGGGGTTCTGAGCTGGGCACCGCATCTCTGCCCTGCGCCTGCCTGGGACCACCATCAGGCTCCGCCTTCTGGGCCAGCTCAGCCTCTGCCTTCCGCACAGCTTTGGCCCCACCTGGTGTCAGTGGCTTCTTCACTACCCGGGCAGGAGGAGGCGATGGCACTGCCAAGGAGGAAACAGGTGAGACCCTGTGCAAAACCGCAGAGCCAGGCGCGCCCCCCCACCCCCCGCA